GGCGTACACAAGATAGACAAAAAAAATTCTTATGCAATTTTATTCACAAGAGATGCACCACAACCCAAACAAAACGGGTAGAATAGCCAACGTCAATATCTCCAAAACATTTCAAAAGAGGAAAACAAAAATTATGTAGAAAATATTCAAATAAGTATCATCTAATTTTTTATAACTAAAACTTATCTAACTAAAAGGAATTCGACGTTCCTTAAAATTTTCAAAGTCTTCAATGATAGCATCAATGCTCAGACTTTTAGCAATTTCTCTTTCAATAAACACCATTAATGCGTCTGAGAGGAAAGTATCCTTCATTTTGTTTCGAAGCCTAGTCTTAACGATATTCATAGCTGAGAAGGTTTTACAAAAACCACCCAATCTTTTTTTTCTCAAAATTTTAAGGGGGTCGTGGCCCCACCTGGACTGTATATAGATCCTCCCCTGGTTTCTTTAGGGTGTCCATGGATGTATAATGGATGTTGCAAATACATTTGAGTTTTAAAAAGAAAATTAAATTTAAACCATGTTTATAGATAGAAAGGGCAACGGATTTGGGTATCTTTTAGATCATGCTATTTATCCTAGAGAAAATTTAATTTTCTAATCTGTTCTGAAACATGGTAGTATTTCCGTATTTGGGTTCTTCCCGCCCATTGTGATCCAATTAATATGATTCCCTGCACTTTGATAAAATTATTTTTCATCGAGAATGTTCTATCAGCCTTAAAATCATGTGATGCCATGTTTGCTCGTTTCCACTTTAAACAACAGGGGTAGAGTTTGGTGATCCATTAGCATAATAATCTTTAATGGAGGAAACAAAGGAAAAGGAGAATCTTCAAATTGAGACAGTTAAAATATAAAAAGGAGGCTTTTAGAGGGATTGTATCTTTATAATCACTATCAAGGATATGCTATGTATAAATTGCCCATGGATCTGTGTGCTTCTCACTGTCTGATTATTAGGAGGCTTTTCATTGTTGATCACCATGCTGAATGCTTTAATGATTTTCCTCCCTCCTAAGTTTTTTGTCCAACTTCTTTTTTTATGCAAACAGGAAATTAACAGCTCATGTATCTAAACAACAGCAAGAGAAAGAGGAGGAAGAAGAGAAGCTAGCACAACAAAAAGCCCGCGAGCTCGACGCTTTTGATCAACAAAATCACGGCGCCGTGCCCCAGTACAGCGACAGAAATCATTCCAATGGAAAAAACGGTTTCCATGGAGCCAACAGTGTTAAGGCAACTTCCTACGAAGAGGAAGCTCTTCGAACAATGAAAGCCTTTTGGCTACCCTCTGCAACTCCCGAAGCCCCAATCAAAGTAGATGCTCCTTCCACAAGTACAACTTGTCCTGAAGGCAATGAGAAGTTGAAGATGAAGTCCCTTTTTCCAATTTACCTCACTGAAGAAAGCAACAAGCAGAAACAGCCTAAGTCGTTGGAGACCAGTTATATTTGCCCTAGTTGCAAGGTTACACTTACTAATACGCTTACACTGGTAGCTGTTAGTACTTGTGGCCATGTTTTTTGTAAGAAGTGTGCAGATCGGTTTGTGGCAGTGGATAAGGTTTGTTTGGTATGTAATAAGGCATGCAAGGAGAGGAATTTGGTTACTTTGGAGAAAGGAGGAACGGGGTTCTCTGCTCATGGAGATCATTTGGAGGCGACTGATTTTAAGCATTTGGGAAGTGGTTCGGGCTTGGGCTTAGTAAGGCCTGCTGCAAAAACTTGAGACATGGGTGCATCTTTCATTGCTGGAGTTTATAAATTTGTTTCTTGTCATGTGGATGTTTCTGATGTCTCAGCAAAAGAAATGTAAAACGTTCAAGTGAATGTCGGTTCATGGTTATTGGCTCCTTTAAATGCTGTAATAGGGGACTTTTTATGTTGGTTTTTATGTATTTGAAATCTGAGATGCTGTCAGTTGAGAATTGAATTGAATTTGTTGTATATCCTTCTTAGTACTCTTTTATTGCAGTAAAGATTGGGACAAGTTTCTAGGCCTGTGAATGTTTTGGCTTAAACTCTTTGCTTATGTATTATCAAAGTGGCTACCATGATAATTATCTTGACTATATTTGTAACTTAAATCAGAAGCTTTTTAAGCCCATTGATTTGTCATCAAAAATTTTGTGGCATCCACCAAGACAATCCTCAGACAGTGCGGATACTGTCTTCAGATTTTCTTCCTAGATTTTACAGAAAATAATAGAAGAAAAGAGAGAGAGGGTAAGTTTCGGACACCAACTGAAAAATGTATTTGATCGGAAGCCCGAAACATGGTGGCAATTCATATTTCATTCTCCTTCTTCCAACAAGTGTACAAAAAGCTATGCATACAGGGCAGTTGAGCTAGTTATGTATCTACAAATGCACATATATTTACACCTCTACTCCTCTTCACAACTCATCCGGAACTGAATTTGTATGGTAACCTTCATCTTATCTACCTACTGCTTTCATCTAAAACTATAGAATTCCCGATTTTTTTTTCTCTATCTCCAACATACTATATTTCATGGGCGATAACAATCACTGCTTACGAGAAAGAAAGAATTCATAATCTGGATGCCGGTTAATGGCTGTAGTGCCATCTCTTTGGACATGTCCTCTTGAAAAAAGAGCTGCAGTTTCCTTCAAAGTTCTTAACCTTTCTTTGAGCAGCTGAGAGATATCAGCTGGCTTGTAACCTTTCAGAAGATTTTCAGCTGGTTTCTTGAGATAAAACCAGCATTCACCCTACGAAGGCGAAGAATCAGATATTCAACTGGATAAGTCTTACAGGTAAGTTGCAAGATCAGAAATAAATACAATAATGTATATTAATCTTGGATGACAAGTTTAGCTATGACATTTGTTCAAGCACAACCAAAGACTTCTGGGTTATGACCATTGTTCTTATAACCATTAAGACAAACTAAACTCAATCTTTCAACTCAGTTTTTTTTCCTATTTTTTTCTTAGCATGGCGTCTCAAGAATAATACTTTCTTGTTTAAAAAAGTGCCTAGAATGGAAGAGCAGCATTTGAAAGATTATCGAATTTATTCCAAATTCAATCAATAATATGCCCATACTTGAAGAACTTCAGCAAATAAAATGCATGGGAAATAAATATCAATCTACCAAAGCATCTTTACCTGTGCATTGTAGCTCTGCATTCCCAACACAGGGCAGACAACACAAAAAGCATTTTCTTTGATGGAATCTGATCCAGTACCTTTCAGACGAAAATGACCCAAGGAATGATAGGTCAAGAATGATGCACGAAAACCACCTTCAGGAATTCGATATATAGGATACCATGCTACCGAATACCTTAAAACAAGTAACAGAAGAGACATAAGTTAAAAAATAATGAATGAAACATAACAGATGTCAGTAGGTTTTAGCTGGAAATACTTATAAAATATTCTTATGTAAATTTCCAAATGATTACTTCAAAACAATGGTTACTTCAAAACTAAGTGCTTATTATTGTCACTTACCAAGATGCAGGGTGGAGGTCTTGTACATTCAAGCATTCCAGCTTGGATGGGTCACCAAATGCTTGAGGTTTAGAAGTACCAACCTCTAGGAGCTCCTTTATTCTGTAGTTGATCAGAGAGAAAATATGTAATCAGAGAAGATGCGTTGATCAATATAAACAGCCATCAAAATGCATTATAAATGTATCTAATAAGTAGATAAGTAAGAGAATCCTAGTTCTTACTTTGCAGAGAGTGTCCTGCGCTGTTGTGGAGGCTCATGTTCAAAATATTCAAATATGACATGAGAATCATCAGGCAGGCAGAGTGAAGATGATGCTGATGAAGGACACAAGCTCTCATCAGTATCTCTCCTTTCTGGCATGCTACCACTTGTACTTTCGGAGCAGCTTCCAACAGAATGGTAGGGACGACTAAATAACTGTACTGCTGAGAGAAATGGGACAAAATGAGCATGAAACAGTACATTGACTTGCAATCCTTTAGTGTCTTCTGCCTTGACTTGCAAACCATAGTTTCCTGGTTTTTCATACCATTGCCAGACATCACGCAACGCAATGCTAGGTTTCAGAAGTTTGATAAAGGAATCTGAAACAGGCTCATGTTTAATTGCATCATTTGAATGCTGCAAAAATGATGAGGAGGGAATAACTGGAGAAGCAGAACTGAGCAGTCTCTCGAACTCAGCAATTGGGGTCCCAGTTGCCAGCTGAAAATTTTCAGAAGATATTTGTGTTGCAAAAGAAGCTTTAAGAGCATATTTGGCTATATATGAACAGATGTGTATGGGAAAGTTCTTTAATTTATAACCAGATGCAGAAAAATTGGAATTCGTATCCTTCCTTAAGCTTCTTTGTTTTACGACATTTGATAAGCCATTAGACATGTTGACATCTCTTGTGATGTCCGAAACACAGGATGCTCCACCAGAAGTATCTAAGTCCTGTTTGTGCTGTACATTATTATGATCAACACTGCCACCCATTTTCAACATCAATGATTCCTTTTTACTGACAGGAATCCACTTAGGTAAACTTGCTCTAGAAGTGAACTCATCTGCGTCATAATGGGGCTCAGTCCCAGAGCGCATAGATGATTTATCCTCTTCAATCGAAGAGTCACAACAAAGTTCAGGCTTTAAACCCTCAGTTGATGTAGTTTCTGCTACATCAGTAGTTATAATTTCATGATAAAAAGTTTTACTGGTTCGAGGCTTGCACTGATTGGGGTTTCCAGCCCCTGATTCTTTACCACCACCACGATTGACATACTCTTGTTCAGAAGGAAGATCCAGTTTAGTCTTTGAGCACTCCAAAGAACTGTTTCCCATGACATCATCTCTTTGCCTTAATGTATATTGACCATGTCTGGCATGAAAACTCCCTCGAGTAGGCCACTCAGATGCCTTGATAGGCATGCTACATTTGGTTTTGTACATCTTCTGAAGACTGCCTCCTGAGTACTGCACTTTTTGTTGAAAAGCATCCTTGCTATCATAAGGAATGCATGGAGGAAGTAATGAAATCTCTACCTTGGAGGAATTGTTCTTTGATACAGAAGTTGTGCCTGATTGAGCAGAATCCATGAATAGGTGATTTTGATCAGAAATATTTCGACCATCAGTGGATGAACTTCCAATGTACCTTCCAGTCCTTTTCCAGGTAAAGTTAACATTTTCCTTCCCAGTTTTATTCCTGTAATTCATAGGGAAGGATATCCGTGATGTACTATTTGAAACTTGAGAGGTCCACTTAACCCCAGAATACTGGTTACCGGACGTGACTTCCATTTTGCTGTCTTTTCCATCATCTCCTTTCACACCCCAAGAATTTTGAACTGCAACAACCGCAAAGTGGTCACAGAATTTTGGATGTTTGTTGCTGACTTCCTTCCAACCTCCATATCTATCGGTTTCACCTTTACCCAACGATAAATGTAGATTTTTATAACATGTTCTGGAATCTGCTGCCACGGATCTAGAACAAGATTCCTTGGTGTTGGCTATTGTAATACAATAGTTAGTGTCAAAAGTTCCTTGAATATGGGTATCTGATCTTTCCGTTGCATAACTGGATCCATGTTGTCCTTTTTCACAGGTTTCAGTAACTCGGCAGTTTTCATTCCACGGTTCTATGTGAGCTCCTATTGGATTAGAACTATCAATGGATGAGGATACAGCCAATGCTTTTACATAGCTTCCCCTTGTGTCCTCCAAAAATACACTCATCGGATTTGAAGTTGTAACAGACGTAATGATTGAAGAACATTCGCATTGTTCAATGTTATTCTCTTCATTCCTTCCAGACTTACTATTGCAGGTCCCATCAATATTCTTTTTACCAGAGGCTGGATCCTGAAAAGCAGCAATCTCCGAGCTTAACTTACTGATATTGGGGAAGCCTTCGGTATCAGCAGTGTTTAGAAAATGCTTTGATTCATACAGAGTCGATTCTGAAGATATACTACCTTGTTTTGCATAAATCTTGTCATGAATAGATTTACCAATAACTTCTTTGGCAGTCTGATAACGAACTGCTGCTTTACTATGGTCACATCCAACCAGTTCTCTGCTAAGAGAAATCTTGGAGGTAACAGTTTCTGAAGCAATGTTATCATCTAGAAGCACTTTGTTCGACTTTCCCTTCTTCTTTTTCTTCTTTTTGGAAGTTCTCTTTGCAGGTTCATCACGTGATAAAGGTAAAGGTCTGGTGTTACTAACATCAGCCAATTCTCTGGAACAGTCACTGAGATAAGCAGAAGATTTCCTGCTGCGCTCCTGATCTGGGGGGTTCTCTTGACATTTAATACCTTCTGAAGCTTCTTTTATTTTCTTCCTCATGGGCTTAGATACGACAGCACCAGGAGACTTAGTTCTTGAGTCATTTTTTTCCAAGGGTGAAGGATGATCAGCCTCCTGGAAAAGAGAAGCTGGAAAGACCAATCCGAGGATGTTCATTTTTTGTAATGGCTCCAGAGTTGTTAATATGATAGACAAAGAATTCTGGGATTTAACAAAGAAAGCTGTAGAAAAATCATTCAGAAAATGACACCTGAAACAACAACACATAGATTTGTAAAGAGTGAGTATTCTGATTGGCAAATGATTGGTGCAGATGAGGATATAAATCTTTTATTATCTAGAACAACTAACTGCAAGTGCATTGAATACAAGTCATAAATTCATAATATTTCTCATAATCTACAAATAGTTAACATCAAGATTTCCTCCTGTCAAACAAATTTCACAGTAAATATAAAATAGAAACTGGTCGCTGGAGAAGATATGGTTATAATTAACAAAATGAAAATAGAAATTCCAAACTCTTATTTACATTTCCTTTATGTGATGTTTCTTTTGCTTCTTTTAATAAACAGAAACAATGACTTCAATCATAGAGCAAAGAGATAGGTCGATCTTCAGTCAGTTTAAGCCCATCAATAAGCGTATGATCTTCAGTCAGTTTAAGTCCATCAGTAAGCGTATTGAGAGACTTGGCATAAGAGGAGTTCAGGTGAGAAATAAATTTGCTTCAGTTGGTTGCCTCTAATTCACAAAAAATCGATTGCTTAATTTGCTTGCACTTGGTTTTTGAAGTCAATTGTTAAAGAAAAGTTTGGTTGTAGTTCTAATGTATGAGCATCGACTAAAGAGGATGATTCAGATGAAGACCAGGCAGACAGCTAAGCCTAACTTACCAGGATATCAATCAAGCACTGCTGCCACATCAGCAACAGATGGATTCCAATGATACCAACAGATACAATCAAATAAGCAATAGGGAAGCTGAGAATCATAATCCTTCATGCTTGAGAAATCAACACTTTCATGGAGAAGTGGACCTAGTCAAAATGCAGAGTGTCAAATCAGGTAAAGTAGATTTGCAACATGAAGGATTATCAAAGTGTTGATTACTATAGCTCCTGTAAGGTCATGAATAGTCTATAAACTTGTAGCCGGTGAATGCTACCCATATTTCATCATTTAGGATGTATCAACAAATTTTTATAGCCAGGATCCATCTGGAGATCTCCGCATCTGATAACTTTAGTTTTTTTCCACCATCTCCTATATTTGTCACAATTGAGACTTTTCCAATGCTATTATGGATCCTCAACAGATGACGACGACGACAACAACAACAACAACAACAACCAAGTCTTCATCTCAAATGTTTGGGGTCGGCTACATGAATCCTATTTTTCCATTCTATTCTGTTATGGGTCATCTTCTCTGTTAAGTTAGCTTTTATCCTCATCAGATGACACTACTTTCTAAACTTAAAGTCTCTCTTTATGTTTAAGCCTATGCATTCCATAAAAGTTCAGTGTATTTTGGATCCATTTAATTGAGAAAATTAAATACTTTTGTATGCATCATTATTGAAAATTGTCTAGCAAATTTTAACATGTGAAATGCATAATGAGGATATGATGTGGGAAAGAAAAATCTATAAAGTAAACAAACTTACCTATGGAAATATACTCTATACCAACCATACAGGCTGATACATGGATCCACACACCAAGAAGGTTATGCCCATGTCTCAGCTATGTTTTTTTTTTTTCCAGATGCGCCGTTCTTTTGAAAAGGGATAGGTAGTTTGCAACTAACAAGGAATTCAAGTATTTCCCAAAGAAAATTTCCAACCTCAAGAGAAAAAGAGGCGCAGTAACGAAGAGATCAACAAGATGGAAAATATGTGTTGATTGAGGCATTAAAAGAGACGAGCTTTCATGATTTTGTCACACGTAATCATAAGTATCCTAACCAGACTACACTACTCAATTTCCCATGATATATCCATTTAACCATATATATCATAATATGATATACCATTTCATATTTGACTAAGTTCAAGATGTGCATAACATGATTTGAATATCAAGATACCAAATAACAAGATACCAAACAAAGAAATCAAACAACTGATCAGGTCTATCTATCCATCACACAATTCACAAATCAACATGGGAAAAGTAGACAAAAGACCACAGTATCAGTTGAGTAGTATTCAAACTTTTAACATACCACAAGTGAACAAATTCTACAACGTCGGTTTGTTCCTTTGCAAAACTTAATTTCCCACACCCTTCAAAGTATGTCAGGTATCAATTTTTACTTTTCTTAACGAAAACAAGAAGTAAGTGTGAGTCCCTGTTTTTCTGTTCCCCTTTTCTTTACGTGACAGAGATATGGTAATGATCTTATTGATCTTAAACCTGATATGATCTCCGAACTTGCTCAAAGATCCTGAACTAAAACCCTAGCCAACAATTCAAGCAAGAATTTTCTCCATTCTTAAACCGATGGCAGAAATTCAACAAAAAATCCCAAAATTCTTCAAGAAAAACTCAATGTTAAGATCAAGAACCTCCATTTTGTTATTTTCCATCAAATATTATTTTAGGGAAATATTTATAATAAACAAAAAATTAACAACTTGAAGAACAAAATCTAATTTTCTCGACCATAACGACAATCTACACCAAAAAAACATAAAACTAATAGCAAGAAAATTGCATCAGAAACATAATTGCAAGAAGTAGAAGAAGTACCAATTCCATTTCATTGTTCCAATTACTCCATTAATCGATCGAGAAAACCCTAAGCCAAGGGAGCGAGCGAGAAATTGAGAGAGAGAGAGAGAGAGAGAGAGAGAGGGAAAATGTGAACGAGGGGATGAATTTAGAGTTTAAATATCCGCCATGGATATTTTTACCTAATTTTTCCTATTTTACTTTTTACACCCCTATTTTATCCGTTTTCAGAAACATTTTTTTTAACCCGATATTATGCCCTCTAAATATTTAGAAAGCGGCCCTTATACCACCCTCACTCTGTGGTCCCAATTTTGGCCGAGATCAGGGCATTATCCCAGGTTTGTACATAACTTTATGGGAATTTTTCTTTACATGTTTTCTTTTTTGAGTTTTCTTACTAACAATGAGGTGCCTTTAATTGCTATGCACATGTTAAATAGAATTCCTTATCAACTATAGGACTATGTACCACCCGCGGGTGGGACTCATGGTCAGCAGCTCTCCATGGGGGAGTGTATCTCTCCAGGCTATTGCCCGTTGTTGGTCAGGAGTTCGAATCCTCGTAGCCGCATTCACCTGGTTTCCCTTGGTTTAAGGGTGGGGACGGAAACCCGGGGTTTTATTGGTCACCAAATCCAGCTCAGCCCGTTGTATGCTCACCAGTTCGCGTCCCAGTGGTCCCCACGCTGCTCGCCCGCGCTCTGCCCGTGGGGATGAGCCCCTGGTATTAAGGGTAGCTCCTTGTAGATGTGAAGGGAACAAGAGGAATCGAACCAGGGCCGCTGGCGGGGCTCCGAAGGAGTTAAACTGAGCTGGGGTGACCAAGTTTCCCTTGTCATCCAAAAAAAAACTATAGGACTATGTAACTTTTTTGGGATGGAAATAATTTGAGGCTTAAGTTCTTTTATTTATTATAATTTACCGATTGAGATCGTATTATGTTTGGTGTCGTCTACTTTTGGCAAAAAGTTTCAAGAATGTTGATTTCTAATCTAGCTTTGCAATGAAAGGGTGCTAGTTAGTTTGTGATTTTGATTGGGAATTTATTGTTCTATTGATAGATTTGGCTCGAAGGTCGTGATGAGAACAATTTGTTATTTTATCCTTTATTTTTATTTTTTTTATGTTTGTGAGTGGTCAGAAAGTTTATTTGAAAAAACGTAAAGTAGTGATGTTCCCTTTTACGCAAGATAAAAAACGTAAAGTCGTGATGTTCCCTTCTACGCAAGATATGTTATAGATCTCATTTACTCAATATAAACTCGGCAACCTCCAACCTTAGAATACACTGTTCAGAGAGCTATTCTCTTTTTCTTCTTCACTGCTATCTTTCTCAAACTCTCTTCCTCTTCTTCACTATTATCTCTCTCAAACTCTCTATTTTTCAGCAATTGTTAAGAAACAAACCAGAACTATTCACGGGCATGTAGCATTGCGATTGCACGCTTGTTGCGCCAATGATCATTAAATCTTGGAGGGTTAGCCGTTGATATCCTGTTACACTGAGAGATAATCTCAAAGGATGCAATCTACTCTTAAGGATAGTGCTCTTGCACGCCTCGATCACACACTGAGAGAAGTTCCATTCATCTTGAAAGTTTAAATTTCAGTCTGATAGTGTAACTCTTAGTAATTTTCAACAGACTTTTCCTCTGTCTGGAGCACAACAAATGTTTTAAGGCACATGACAATTCTTTTAAATAAAAATGAAAAGCTACAACTTCAACTTTGAGAAATCTATTTTCAGCCTTGAGCATATTTTTATATTGTTCTCGCAACGATAACCAAACTTAAAGAAACTTAAAATGTTTCTTTGTTTGACTACTTATTTCAGTATGGACACAGATTTTAAAGTGTCATTTGAAATAATTAAAACTTCTGTGAGGCTTTATTTAAATTTTAAAAAAAAACTTCTATTTCGTATCAGACTATGTCTAAGCATTCACAATTGGGCATCCAAAACTAATATAAGGATGCTCCAAAAGCAGCTCCATTCTCTGCTCATCATTTAATCGTCCGCAACGCTTTGCCAGTAGCGGCACGTTATTCATTATCGTATCCGGCGTTGTCAGTTATCCCCTGATTAGATTAAGAAAATCCAATCCACTAATAATCGTTGTCAATTAGATTAGATAATTAATTTTGTATGCGTCACACAGCTGTAGCCGACCACATGAAACCCGACAGCTGAAATCAGTAGAAGAATACAACAAAATAAGCGTTTTATTATTTCAAGCATTTATTTAGTTTTGAGCTTTAATCGCCATCCACACCTGACGGTTATGATTGATACAATAAAGATGACAGAGGTGCAGGATATCCGCATAGAGATTTGTATACGACAATTAAGGTATGACTAAACCTTCTGTAATCATGCTGCACCCTTCTGTCTTTTAATTTGCATAAATGTTTCCTCATTTGAAGGTAGTGGTGCATATTATGTTAGGAAAATAATTCATGGACTACATACGGCACATGAAGCTAATGTTTGCTCGGAACAAAGATTGTGACACATGGATGTTTGGTTCAAAAGTCGCTGCTGTGGAATTCATTATAACTTTGTTCGATTACAACAAATTCGAAATCTTCCCCTGGAATAGCAGAAGCTCCATAACAAGACTTACCTTTTCCTTTTGACTTTTTCTTGGAAGAGATTCCAGTCCATTGTTCATCTCCAACCAAATCTGGATGGACCCAAAGAATCTCACCATTAGGGGTTGTGTGTGGCACAAGTCCTTTCTGGCGCTGTTTGTGTGGATCATCATTCACCGTCTTTACTGTTGCATTTATCACTGGTTCATGTTGGAACCAGTTCAAGGGAACAGAGCCGAAGCTAATCGACACTGCATTCGCACCCACTTTCTTCTCCTTGGGTTGTTTCATAGTGATGACCCCGACATCGATCAGAGCTTGAATCTTATCTTTAAGGGCGTAGCATGCCTTGGTAGGATGGTGCACCGCTCTGTGGAATGCGCAGTACTTTGGATCATTAATTCTTTTAGCGTCTTCTTGATCCTGGACCGGAGGCAACTTGATCTTGTTGTTCTCGATAAGGTATTTAAAAATACCGGGAACTTCATCCTCTTTGAATGAATAGACCTTTAGAAACTTTGGTTCTGAAGCCTTTTGCTTCTGGGGCTGTTGCTGCCACCTTGATTGTTGTGGCGCCTTTTGTTGCTGTTGTTGCGGTTGTGCTTGCACCTTGAATGTTTGATTCGCGTCCACAGCATTCGCATGTGCTTTTCCCTTTCCCTTAGGGAAAAAGTTATGTTGCGGAGCGTTATTTGCTATTTGGCCCCTTTCTGCCTTCTTCCTCTTAAGGAATCGTTCGGCTCGTTCCCCACGCACCTTCAGATCCTTCCAGGTCTTTGGCGGTGCCATTCCCATGGCTTACAGGATGTCCAATGAAAGATTGTTATGACAGGTCTCGAGGATGAAATCTTCGCTGACCGGATCCCTGCAATTCATTGCTTTATTTCGGAACCTCTTCACGAAGTTTTCGACTGTCTCACCATTCTTCTGCTTCTCATCAAACAGAGTGCCGATTGAGACCTCAGTGTCGTCGTAGAAGAAGTTCGTCAGAAACATGTCCTCCATGTCGTCCCAACTGCTGATGCTCCCCGGCTTGAGGCGACGATACCAATCGAAGGCCGCTCCGCGAAGAGTGCCAACGAATGACCGCACCATTAAGGGTTCATTGCCGGAGATCGTGCCCAAGTGGGACTTGAAGTATATTAGATGCTGAGTGGGCGAGCCCTTCCCGTCGAACGGCGTGAAGTTGATCAGGTTGAACTTTGCCGGATATGGAATTGATTCCCACTCCCTTGGATATGGACACGGTATACCTGACCTTTTTACCTCTTGAGCATTCATCAATGCATTGATTTTGCTCTCCAAGTCTTTCATCTTTTTGTCTTCACTCGTTTCTATCTTCGAGTGGTTTTGGGGAGAGGTAATGTGGTCTTCTTTGGCATTATCATCTACCGGACCACTTCCGTTGTCGTTGTTGACAGGGGGAATAATGACATTATTCCCTTCCCGTTCATTCTCTTCTTGGTTCTGATGATTGGGTCGAGTGGGCTCCTCTTGATGAGTTGTCAAAGCTGCGAGTTGCTGATCGTGCATCTCCCTCATCCGCTGTAGGGTCATCTCCATTTCGAACTTGAAAGCCTCTTTCTGCCGAGCTAGGGCATCCTCAAGCATCTTGTTCATCTGTTCGGCACTGATCATGAGTACCTCGCGGGGTTGTCCCTCGCTAGATACTGTGTTGTCCGAAGCAATCGCGGAGCCGGCATCTGATGCTTCGTCTTCTGATGGTGATCTCGTCCGGATTCTACCATAAGTCCCTCGTGTAATGGTCCCGGACTGTAGGTGAGTTAGATACCAGGGTACCAACGGGATTGACTCGGGATTGTCCCCTGTCGATGCTCCTTTGCTGGCCATGTTGATGGTGACCTTCGGGAATTCTCTGTCTTTGACTATCCTTCTTCTTCGCTGGAAACGCCTAGGCTTAGCTTCAGACGCTCCGGTGGAAATTCTATCAAACACTGAAATTCTCCTTGGGGTTTGAGCGCAGGAGCATTCTGATAGCACTGCCTTGATTATGTTGGCGCACGGGCAGCGAGACTCCATGTCCTGCACATACTTCTTTCGAGATTTCCCCATACCACCAGCTCTATAGTACAGCTCATCAGCTTGGTAACTGGAGCAACCTATAGAGTGTTGGCATGTGCTCCTTGGTAAAACACCATCATCCTCAGATGAGTGTGCTTCCCCTTTGGCATGGGATGTTTTGTTAGTTTTCTCAAAAGTGGCCCGTTCAAGTTTACGTTTTTGTGAACATAAAAATTGAACGGGCTCTTGTATTTCGACTCGCAATCCGATGCGGTCGGTGATAGGGGCTTTCCCTTTCTCATCTTTCGTGGGGGGATTAATTCGACCCCCAGTTTGATTTGAAACTTGGTGACCTTTCAATGGACCCAAGCGCTCCTTGATAGGTACTTTACCTCGATTCCCTGGTAAGGGACCGAGGCGACCTTTCACAGGAACCTTGGAGGTTGAAGGGTCTGTTTTCATACCTGACCCTACCG